TTTTGTATTAAAAGGAGAGAAAGAAGGCAAATGCTGTTRTAGAAGTATTTCTAACCAACCCTTAAATTAGTTCACTGAGTTTGAGCTGTTACTCTTATCACATTACTGGTGGCACTTTTATTTCTGATAGTGAAAGACATTATTTTAATATTGTATTATTGCAAATTTTGATYAAGGATTGGAGAGGTAGCACAAGCTATTGACACCAAAACCTAAGATTATTYAATTTCTTTTTATTTGATTTCTTTTTATTTGAACTTAGATAAGCTTTGCTTGTTTCTGATAATGAGACTTAAAACCCAAAACTCTCCAAAAATTCCAGGAATCATRTACTATATGAATAGTCCTCAGTAAATATTAAGTAGTTTTGAGCCCTTTTCAATATAGCTGTTCATACACTTGATTCTTCCAGAGAAGCTGAAATTTCCCTTTTCTCTCTTATCCACTTCTTTTTTTACTCTGTCTGCACAAACATCTTACTGTCTCACTTCAGCATTATCCCAACTAAGCACAGTTGAGAACTAAGGTAGGAATGTTTAATTTTAAAAGTTCAGTTGTCAATTTGGAGAGTGTCTTTGGACTAAGGTAGCAGCCTTGCATTGGCCTTTTGTGCTTGAAGTGTAGATAACAGAGATGGAGATAATAGTTGAGTACAAAAGGATGATAAAACTCAGTTGCATCATTTTGCAATCATTAACAGGAGTCCTTTGCCAGAGCGAAAAATTGGGTCAAAGAACTTCAGCGACAAGCAAGTCCTAACATTGTAATAGCTTTAGCAGGAAACAAAGCTGATCTAGCTAACAAAAGAGCTGTGGATTTCCAGGTATGTACATAACTTTTGTTCATAGAAATTGCATTTTGTTTGAATATATAGTAAATAAACCTGGGGGGGGCTTATATGCATAGCCTAGCTAGTTGTTATGGAGGTCATGCTGTTAAATATAAATGTCAACTGAGACTAATTAAATTATACATGCTACCAAAAAACCTATTTCTGTACAAGTAGTATGTAGGGATAGACTTTTTGGAATAATTAATTTGACTTGGAGGAATAATTAGTTTATTTGTGTATCTTTAAGGTTAATTGAATATCTGTTCTTTGATGTGACCTCTTTCTGTCTTCTAATCCAAATCACCGGTAACTATAGTTTCAATGGGTGAGATAGTGGTACCTCAGTGCAAACTGTTCTGTCTGGCTTGTCAGCCAGAGAATTTTGATTACCATATGATACAAAGCTGATTGATGTGCCTRACTTGCTTAAGCTGTACTGTTGAAGCACTGTTCAAATTTTAATTGAGCTTTTCATGGCATTGTTTTTGGTTTAGTGATTATATCTGTACTCTCACTGGTGTATTTTATCTTCTAGAGAGTTTAATCAAGTCATCAGAGAATAGCTTCCAAAGTGAATAAACATTACTGCAGGTAGTTTTAGTCCATTCATGATTGGTTGTATTTGAATTAAGATAGCATTTATTAGCCATTAATTAGTCATTAATTTATGGTTTTTAATCTGTGKTTGGGGTCACTGTGTGAGATACAGCTGCATATAGTAATGAACCCCTTTGTAACTACAGCAGGTTGAATTATGAAGGTTAGCAATTATTTAGGTTTTTTTCTGCAAGTTTTCTAATTTTGTTGCTTCCAAGACAGTTGACAGGAGATTTGGATGTTTTATGAAAAAATGTGGTATTTAACAAAAACTTCATACCTGACTGCAGTCAATAATGTAATCAAATTTGACTACCAAAGTAGACCTATCTGTACTAATGTCAATGTTTTTCAAATGGTCGGAGTTTTGCTGCTGTGGATTTATGGGGTCCTTGTGGACTGGACAGGCCTTTCTCATTGCAAATCACGTATTTCTAGCTGTTTGGTCACATGTTGTTTCAGATATAATTACACAGATCTTAGCAGGTGTCACTTAAATAATTATAGAGTCCTGTAGATTATTCTTATCATCATAGATGTCTGTAGTTCAGCTTTTTATCAGAATTCTTACTAAATGCACAGGTAGTTACATAATCATAAAAAGCTGGAGATTCTCAGCTGAATTGATGAATAAGGAGTGGCAAAGTAGTAAAGTTTTTATGAGCAGTGTATGAGATGAAAATTTATACTGARAAGAGATGTAACATGGCAAAATACTTAATACTGTTTATTTGCTGTAATTGTGAATTTGTATCAGGATAATGAAACTGTTCTGATCCATCTTGCCTCAGTGCTTGAARTATTCAAGATAGCTCACAAACTGCCTTTTTTCACAGTAACACTGGACTTGCTGACTTATGGTGGCACTTTCTGAAGCTTATTTGTTCGTATCAGAGCTAGTGTTCTGCGTTRGGGTTGTCTCTTTCATAAATATTTTCATTTAAGTTTTGCCTGAGATWCTTCCATCTGGATATTTTTAGGATTAGTAACGATCTTTAAGATTCCATTTCTAATTGTTGAGCTGCTTGGTGGAATTGTAACTTACCCATACCTGCTGAATAACATGTTGTCAGATGAGCGTTTCAGCAAACTGTCTTTCTTTCAAAATGCTGTAGAGATTGTTCTTTTGTAGCAATTAAAAGTACAGTGTGTAATGATTGTATGAGGTCTTGTTTTGTTTTTTTTWAATGAAGTAATGCATTCTTATTTTAACTTTCAGGAAGCACAGGCTTATGCAGATGACAACAGCTTATTGTTCATGGAGACRTCTGCCAAAACATCTATGAACGTAAATGAAATATTCATGGCAATTGGTGAGTTCATGAACAAACTGAGAGCTTTAAGRGAATGGTTTTCATGAGATTCAGACCATGCCAATCTTCCTAAGATCTTTGTTTTTCACTGAAATTATTTCTGGCATTGTTTCCATAGACCCTTTTATTTGTTTAATTTTGTTTAAGCAGCTATCTGAAATCTAAAAGCTCTGCCAAAGATGGCAAAGTGCAATGTGTGCTTACATTCAGTGTCCAAGTTRTAAGTAAAGGACACTGCATGTGAAAAGTAAATCTACTCATGTATTTTAAGACCTAACATAATCTTAGAAATTTCTGTAAAGATGCTAACATGTAGTTCTAATTATAAACCTATTTTTTCTTTATTCCATTGATATACCCAAAATTGTATTTATTGTTAATAAAATTGACAGTGGAGAAAAAAATAATTCAATTTTAGACTGGTCACAAATGTGTTTTGTAGTAACCTTAATTATAGTAGATGCTATAGTGGGTAATAGTAATATATAGCATCAAATAACCTCATTAAATCTGTTGTGTATGTTGCMCCTCTCTAACCCACTTTTTGTGAAAAAACACCATTACTGTTAAAATTATATGTTTCTAAAGAGGTCTTAATCTTCTGCTTTCCAAGTCAGAGCAGAAGGTAATTTGTGATCCCCTTCAAACTTCCAGCAGATGCAAATTAAATTATCACTATAGCAACAGTTTATACCAAGTACATGCTTCATATTAACTATAAATACTTGAAGAGGGGGATAGACACACACTTAAATGTATGACAGGAAAGTATATTTTTCTCATAAATGTTCAAGATAGGCTTGCATTTAATGATAGAGAAATGGTCAATTACACTGTTCTGGTGAAAATTTAAAATTAATGTGTTTAATGGTGCAGTTTTCATCCTGTTTAAAAAAAAAAAATCCCCAAAACCCGAGGTGATTTTTTTGTTGGTTTGATTTGGTTTGGGGTTGTTCTTGATGTTTTTTGTTGGATTTTTYTTGTTTGGTTGGGTTTAGTTTTGTGTGTGTGCGTTTCTATTTGTTTGAGGTTTTTGGTTGGTTTTATTTTTTGTTTCTTGAGTTTTTGGTATTTTATTTTCTTTTTGTATTGGGATATCAACAGTAGTTCTTGTCTGTCTGTATTTTAATGAAGTCTACAAAGTAAATTTGAGGAAAATTATGCCAAATTAATAATTGGGTATTTTGTCTGCAATGTTGTTTGGTCATGTGAGTATACTTTTGCATCAATGGGGTCAAATTCAGCTTTGTCAGTGAATCAGATCAAGATCTGTGCAGCAGTAGACTCTGAAAGGAAATTTTGTGTGTAACTTGGAATGGCCTGCAAAATGTGGATGCACTTCTCAGGACCATACATAAATATTATCTTAAAGCTGAGAGAAAGTAAAAARTGAGAAAGCTGACAGAATTGCTGGGTGCAAGCTGCACCTGCTTGTAAATTGATTGCTTCAGCACTCAGTCAGAACTTCCATTTAAAAAAGAAACAATGTTAATTCAGTTCTAGATACAGTTCTAGAATTCAAAACTACCTTGATCTGAAGACATTTTTCTGTTGGTGCACTGTGCCTTTGTACTGACTCAGCAACTTAGTACCATGTGGACTCTTGGGTTTTATCACAGAACTGTAGAACAGCTCAAGTTGGAAGGGACCTCAGAAGATCACACCCTTTTGCCTAGCCACYCTGAGGTTATCTAGCACCACAACTTGTTGATGTCTGCACTGTAGTTTCTTTGAACTGGGTTTCATTAATTTTAAGAAAAGTTGTTCTTTAAAAAACTGACAGTAGTAATTACTTTGAAGTTAAAACATTCAGAGAAACTGTGGAACAAGGGTGGTTGTTGGGTCCTGGTAAGATAGGCCCATGGAAGTCTTTTTGTGTGGAACTTGGCAATTTTCTGAAGGAGAGAAATCTAGGAGAAGCTACTGCTCAGAAGAGTAACGGGTTTCCCCTTTATTTTTCACCTTGGATTTACAAGGGCAACAAAGAAATCACCAGTCAATTGACTCATAAGAGCTGGAGAGAAGAGACAGCTTGAAAAACATAGTAGAGGCTTGATCTGGTGCTGAGGGCCATTTTATATGTTGTCTGCAAGCACTTATTCTGGCTGGATATCTGGGAACTGTTTGACCCATTTCTGTCTGTGTTTTGTGCCTTTTCAACGTTTCTGTATCTTTTTGCACTAACATCCTGATCTTAAATCCTGTTCTGTGTGGGTGGATTCCCACAAGAGCTGTCATTTACTGGCATAGCACACCTGTGCAGATACATTTTACTGCTCAGGTTACCAATGTATTTCACTCCTGGAAAACATAGATAAGGTAGCTAATCATTAAGAAGTTGTGTCTTGACTTCTTTCGTTACCAATGCACTGAATCAAATCAGATTACACAAAGAGTATACTGATGTGCCTATAATGTGTTGTTTTCTGACTCAGGTGATTTACTCTTAGTAAAATCTCAGGTTTAACTCTTACTTTCTGTTCATCTTACAGCAAAAAAATTGCCCAAGAATGAACCACAGAATGCAGGAGCCAGCTCTGCCAGAGGAAGAGGAGTAGACCTTACTGAACCCACACAACCACCCAAGAGTCAATGTTGTAGTAACTAAAAGATCAATTGCTTTAAACTGTTCTGAATATTCTTCTGCTTCCTAACTGTTAATAACCATGGAATTGGAGTGCTTAACCTGGTCCAGTACAGCTTCCAAACAGCGAAGAGACTTATGATAATAGTCAAGTTCATGATACAGAGTTTTCTTTTGACCTAAAATTTTAACATGCATGTATCCACCACTGGCTGTAATGTTTCAGCAGTAGAGGAGAGATGGAAGCGGGATAAACTTCCTTCAGTTGAAAGGTTTTAAAAATCAGTTGTTATTATTAGAGGTATAGAAGAAATACTTTCTGTGGACCTAATTGGCCAGTTCCTGTAGCCTCAATACTGATCACTGTTATAATAAATAGAATTGGATCTTCTCATAATTCTCAATTGTGCTTTAAAACCTCTTTAGAAACAGGGTCTAAAAATTACTTAAACTTATTTGCAGTATTGATGCATCCAGTTGTTTCTGCAGGTATCCACTGTTTAGTTATACATTCCATAGTTTAATAATTTAATTACGAATAATACTTGCATTAACAATTTTAAGAATCTTATGCTTGCCAGAAAGTGGAGTTTTAGTTGGTACACTGTATGTAAATTATATCAACCCAGTTAGTTATCTTAATGAATTAGTGATGAATCAAGTCTAACTTCATTTCTAATCTGTTCAGAGGGTACAGACCAGTAAATTCAACTATACAACTTAGGATATGGGGTTTTTTTGTCCTCTACAAACTGTAAGAGCTCTTCAAGTAAAACCACAACAAACTCGGTGTCTGTGACTTCTTTCTTGTTTCTGATCATTGCTGGCCATTACAGTTTGTTTTTCCCCTAAGGAAAAAAAAATAGTGCACTAACGATTATGTACATCCAACTTGATTTTAAATTTGGATATTAATGTACTGTAAATAGGTACTCTGCATTGTAGTCTACATTTGTTTAATACTTTCTGTAATATTTAAGAGTTGCTTAAAGGTATACAGAATGTACAGTTACTTAAAGCTAACTTTTTTCCTCTCTAATCAAAGGGGGTTCTGAGTTCTTCCTTTATGGCTAGAACAGTAATAAATGATGCTCCTGTATCTGTAACATAAGTACTGCTGTCTGTCAGTAATGAACTTCGCAACTTTGTTTTCCAAAGTACATTTTATTTTGATCAGTCCAGTATATTGCACTAATTCTTTTAGTTATTTTCATTATATGAAATCTACAAAGTGTGTCAGAAGAGATGAATTAGTCTATTTAAATGTTGAACTGATAGAAACTTACTTGTGCAGATTTTAAATTTGCAGTAATCTGGGTTTAGCAAGGAAAATGACAGTTCACCAGTGTTTAGTTTTATATTGAGGTGCTCAGGTTTGAATAAAGTGGTTTAAAAAAAAAATTGATTACTGTTTCTTATTGAGAGTTTTAGAAGGTTTTATCTAGTTTGTACAGTTCCAGACAAGCTAGATATGAGTTTGTCCTAAATATATTGTGTCACTCCAGTTATTCTATGATAAATTCTTAAATGTTGAGGTGATTGGACATCGATTTAGAAGTACAGTCAAAATAGTAACATTCTCTCTTGAACCTGCAGCTAATGCAGTCTTTGCCAGTTGTTCACAAGGTGACTTGTTGCAATTGTAGTGTCTGTGAGCTGACTATGCCTCTTCCTGTAGCTTCTGATTTGCAATTGTTTGGGTACATTTTTGTGTCTTTTTCAAACTGTGGTGCTTTAGAACCCACTGGTGATACAGTCTTTAGCAGTTTTTGGTCAGCATCACCTGCAGTTTGTCACAAAATACATTCAAGGTCATTTTTTTTCTGCAGCTGTGTACTTGAGTCAGAATTGCATGCCATGGTTTTGTGTACTTTGAGGGCTGCTTCATGGCTTTAGACCTCGGTGCCAGCACATTCTCTTGCAGCTGGTATGGCTGTGATTTGGACCTGTCTCACAGAAAGTGTCAGTTTCTTCTTGCTCTGAAGTCTGTCACTGTAGATGGAAACTTAGATAAAATTTTCTGTCCTCAAATTGAGTTCTTCAAAGTCCTCTTGTGTGCTAGAGTTGGAGTAGTGTATCTCTATTCTTTGAATTTACTTTGTTTTTACTGAAGAGAGATAGCTCTGGATTAGGTTAATTTTCGTGGTCATTGGTCTGTTTATTAGAAATTCCATTTTCACTTTGCCTATAAATCTTCCTAGGACGTTTTCACTAATCTTGCTTCAGGTTGCCTTTTGTGTCACTCTGCAAAATACCTTTATTGGAATAAAATAGCAGTATTCCATCTTGCAGATTATTAATAGGGTTTGAGTCAGTTAAGTTGTGTCCAGYGAGGAATAGCAGAAACTGACACTGTTTTGTTGAACAGTGTTCATGCGTTCTCAAATAAGGAATGAATGTCAAGAGTTGGAACAAGTACTTCAAATACTCCAAAACCCCACAATGCCCATTGGAAACCAGAATAAGAAACTGGCAAGTAACATTGATAGGGACAGATACAATGTGAGGCACAGGTATAACAGATGTTCTTTTTACTGGATCTCTGATGTCCAAGAGCCCTTGTAGTTCTCAGCTACTCCTTTACTAATCTATCTGCTGTGTCAATGTTGATGTTTCCTCCATTCTGAAGTCTTTTCTCACTTGCATCAGAAGTGTTGTGCTCTTGAGAGGCAATGACTCTTTCCATTTTATGTAAGACTGCATGTACATCACCTGAAGTTGAAATAATATTTATAGTATACTGGATTTTTTTAAAGGCAACAGCGTTTTGTTAAGGACTGGGAAAAAAACAGAGATCATAATTAATAGTCTGCTGTCACAGGCAACAGTGTGTCCATCATTGAATCTGATTCTGTTTTACAGCTGAGTTTTCTGTGGTTTTTCTCCTTCCTTTCTTAGAACAATGTTCTGGAATCTTAATCTCCTGATTGCAGATAAACACTTATGAGGAGTCTTAAGTGACATTTCATTCAGCTTAAAGTGCAGTCTAATATGAAAAATATGCACTCGTGTTTTAAAACCAGTCAAGGTGCAACTTTTCTATTTTTCTCAAATATTTTTTTTTCTTTCTATGAGAATGTGTGCTTTCAAGTGCTTTTCAAGTCTGAATTAACTCATCAAAAAGTTTCAGGCTCACACTGTTTCTAGCAGCCTACAATTTTTAGTACCTGAAAGTAATTGGGACGTGATGTGGGATTTACCATTTACTTGTTGCATTAAATCTGTTACTTGGTTAAGATACCCGAGGGAGCAACAATTCTTAGTCATTGTGGGAAGTTGAGGACTAATTTCTTTGCTTCACTATGAAGAGGTTTTCTGCCTTCTCCTCAACAATGTCTGAAATCTGAGAATTAAAAGTGTTAGAAATCGCAACACTGCAGGTCTTGTCAGAATTGAGCAGAGAGCATAAAGAAAAGAGCTCCAAACGAAAGTGCTGTATTGTTTTAGATCTTCTGTGGCTGCTCTGTGTCAGGGGAGGTATTCAGTCTGCTCTGATGTGTTGGCATAAGGGCAAACTGATGYCTGGCAGAAGGAACTTGCTTGGGATGTGGTAGCTTTCTGGAGGATGTGAAACTGACTGCAGTATGTTCATTTATATTGTATTTTTAATATAATCTGGCTGGACTGGGGCACAGACCTTTGAAAAGGGGTGTATAAGGAGGCATTGCATACATAGTGGTTGTGTTTCTTGGGCAATATTGTCATCAGCTAGTGTAGGAGACTGCTAAGTGTAGTCTGTGAAGGCAGATTTCTTCTGCCTTAAATCAGAAATCATTTAAAATACCAGACTGAAGGGCACACCTTTTTAATGAATTATAAACTGTAGATGCATTAAATTGCACTTTGTATGTTGCCTTGTGCTTGCTTCCCCCTTCTTYCTCTGATTTCCATGGAGAGCTAGAAGAATGAGTAAAATACCCTTTGAAATGCTGGAGAGGAAGACCACCAACTATAAGCCTAAGAAAGGGCATAATATAACCCATGTGGATTTGTTTGACTGCAACAAAAGAGTAAAATCTAGTCCCTTTGGGATGCCAGTCTCTCTTGTCTGCAAACCTGAGACAGGGCAAAATAATCAACAAAACTTAGCTGACCTATCAATAGGGGACTAAACGAAGAAGGCAGAGCTGGTCTGTGTCACTGTCTGCTTGTGTCTGACCATTGTGTTTAGTTGTTTATCTGAAACAGAAGGAACAGATCTGTGCTTTTGTAAGAAAAAAGCTCCTTGGGGTGGGGAGAAATGAAGGTTTATGTGTCAATTTTTTCCTTTGATGTGATATATTTGGTGAAAAATAGTTTTAGATTAAATAAGTGCATATTTAGCAATGGTTCAAAAAAGTGGATTTTAATCATAAAAGGTTTCAAGTATCTCTGGTGAACTTCAAACCTTAACTTGCTAGCRGAGCTTTAATTTATGGTATTTTTAATTGCAGTCAGCATGAAACCCTATCTGTGAGGAATGGATGGAGGCAGGTAACAAGACCCAAAAGAAATTTGGTAGAGAGTTCACCCAGCCTAAGTTCTTACCTTCGTTAATCTCTTTGGAATAAAATGGGTTTCTGCCCCAATAAGGTGAAAACAAATACATCTGAAAACATTGCAACTTTTGTGTGAGTTAATGCTGTATTCCAGTAGTGTGACTGCATCTCCTGAAAGAACTGAGGTAGTGCTAAACTGAAGTTCACATAGCTGGAGAAAGTTTATTTGAGGTAAAAGTGTAGCTGTAGCAGCAACATGGAAGAATGGAGGTGGTGGGGTACCCCACARTTGCCTAGTTCAGTGTCAGTGCACGATCAGGTTGGTTCATAGTGTTTCTCAGATTGGCAGATGAGTGCTAATTATTGTTAAGCAAAAATTTTTGGTTTTACTTTCTAGAATCAGTTTTTTCAAATGTGGATTTTTTTTCCCCTCTGGAAAACAATGAAGGCTCTCAAATGTTTTTTTCCTTTCCCTACTGATCTTTGACCCTCTTCATTAATTTCAGTCAAATTTCATATGAAGAAATAGGAAGTCTTGCAAGTTTTGAGAATGCAGATATCACAGGAAGAAAGTGCCTCTGATGTCAGCTGCAGTGTCAGCCCATTCCTTAATGCTAGGGAGAGCAATGGAAAAATAGTGTAGTGCTGGGCATGTGCTTCCAGTAGACACTGGAAGTGGATGTAACTTAAATTTATGTAGACATAAATCCATTTGAAACTCTTCACCCAGCAGCTTTTTTTATATGACTRTGCTTGTGCACTCCTTCATGGGAAAGTAAGTATCTTGCTTGTAATCTTACAGCTGTTTTATGTATACAAGAGGACTTAACTGGTAACAAAAATTGCCAGGTGAGAAGGTAGAATGCCTAGAGTTGTTCATCTGCAAGAGCTTTTAGTAGTGTTYGTTGTAGAAGAGGTGGGTGCTGAAGCCTCATTGTTTCTGATTYTGTACTAAAGAAAAGCAAAGCAAAGTTCTGCTTCAGAATGAAACTGGTCTGAGTAGATCTTTTATAACAGTAAAATCCAACAGATTATTTGACAAAGTAACAATTTGGATGATTCCCTCAAAACATGTTTTCAGTTTGCTGGTAGCCAAATGTGGTAGCGTTTGTCCAGTGAAACAAATCAATTAAAAGAATATCTTAAACATGTTTCATTGATACAAGGACTTTATCAGTTCAAAAGTCAGGTTTGTGATTTCCTGCCCTAAAGTGATGACACCTTAATCCTTGTGATTAAAAAAAAAGCGAAAAAAAAAGCTCATACTATTTGTATAAAGATCACTCGTGATTTATGGAATGCTTTCTAACTCTTTAACATTAGTAAATTGGCTTTACTTCTTTAATTCAAATATTGTGTTCAGGCTACTTATAAGCTGAATACTGTTGTCTGATAGGAGTATCAGTTGGGAGGGAATTTGTCATGTC